TACATAGTCTGTTGGGTGGATGATGCCTCATGGGCAGGAGTTCAATCCTTCTCTTGAGTAGAGAAGTAATCAATGCCTCTGCCCTTTTTCAGAGATATAGGCTGAGCTGTGATTTAGTGCAGAATGGATTGTAAGTGAGGCACGCCACATCATCGTACAGGGTAGCTGGACCCGATCTCTAGCATATTATGCATATTATGCACATTATGCACACATCATGCACACAGACCTCATCAGGGTAGGGTTTGGTGCTTGGTCTGATTGTTCGGAGTAGGTTCTATGTCATATATGGATTGATATGCGCATATACAGACTGCTCCGGTCTGGAGAACATACTGATATTATATCACTGTATAGGGATGCTGGACCCGATTTCCAGCAGACACACATCACATCGTTGTGCAGGGATGCGTACATTATGTACACAGATCACATCAGGGGTAGGGTCTGGTGCTTGGTCTGATTGCTAGGATTAGGTCGATGTCATACTTGGATTGATGAGCATATACAGACAGTTTCAGACTATAGGATAAAGCTTCACAACACTGTATAGGGATGCTGGACCCGATTTCCAGCTGTCACATCATTGTACAGGGACGCTGGACCCGATTTCCAGCAGGTGCAGCTCCCCACCAATAGATGGAGTCTTCCACGCTGGGTGCCTACTTATCGGGGATGCTCTTATCACCTCGTTAAGTAGGTTTCCCGTATACGAAGTTAAAAACAAAAAAAAGGCAGGATTGCTAGCTTTCCTTCACAATAGCCTAGACTCCCTAGAGTGATGACTGGTCGGCTGTTGGTTTGTTGGGCTCTGTGGCATTGTTGTCCTTTTGCTTTGCAGTGCATTGTTTGGCTTTTGAGCATTGTTGCCCCCTTTTTACAGTAGCGTAGATTCTTGAATTGTTTTTTTTTTTTAGCATTGTTGAATAATTTGTTCTCAGGGTTGAAGAAGTCAGGACAGATGCCGTCTTTTGGCCATTTCTGTGCCTGGATGAATCCCAACACCTGCACCTACTATACTGGGTAATGGTCCCATATCTTCCTTTTCCGGGTTGTTTGTGGAGGGATTCCCAGCCTCGCCTCTTTTTAGTGTGGAAATAAAATGAGCTGAGTGAAAAAATAAAAAATTAATACCAAAAAGGGGAGACTGCTCCGGAGTCACCTTTTTAGTTTGAAATAGGCAAGAAAAGACAAAGTGGCGCCTATGTCATCGTTTGAGTTTCTCAGGATGTGCAAGTTTAGCACGGGGTTTGAAATTGTGGTCGTTTTCTTCTTCTTCTTCTTTTTTTTTTTTTTTTTTTTTAATGGTCGTTTACTTGGAGGCATGCTCAGACCAGGGAAAAAAAAGAAAGAAAAAACACGACGAGCTGAATACGAACTGCGGCCCTCTCATATGTCTGCCAGGCAATGTTGTTATTGCCTATTCGAATTCCGATGATGTCAATTTTGTGATGCCGAGTTTTTCTTGCCTATTCCTAACTAAAATGGTGACCCACGAGGCTCGAGCAGTTTCCCCATGAACGTTTTCCAATTCCAGGATTTCCAAAAAAAAATAATAATAATAAAAAAAAAAATTTAGGGCTACACTTTCTGCAGGCCTGAACACGATTCTAAAAGGTCAGTTTTGGGCCTCGCCCTTTCTGAAACACCGCGACTTTTTTTTTTTTTTTTTTTTTTTTT